TCAGCAGGATGCCATGTGTCCCACTGCTGCTTTATCACTGTGGGAGATGTCTTTAGCATGTACTCCTCAGAATATGCTCCATGGAGCTGTGGCAGGCTGGTGGGAAGAGGGAAAGCTTGTGCAAAGTCCTCAAAACATGGTGCTTCTGCTTTATGTAGAGGCTTGAAAACTATGCCATGGTGCAATGGAATATAAACGTCTGAGACCTGTGGCTTATTTGTGAAACAGAAGGGAATGTGAGCTGCTGCACAATCTCTGTTTTTTTCCCAACTGCTTTTTTCCTGAATTGCAGTGAATCATGCAGAAATGGTATATTAACAAAAACAACAACAACAATAACAACTGTTTTCTTTTCACCTTCTGCAGGGTTTGGTAAAATCATCTGCTGAACAAGACCCCACCTTAGCTTCTCCAACACAAGAACCAATATTTGGGCCTTTTTTAATCTTTTTGTACAGATTAAATACTCCAGTGTAGCATTGTGTCCAAGTACACATTTTAATAGATGCCTAACTCAGAAAGAAATTTACAGATAAAACCTAGGATGTTTGAAATGGCCAATCCTTTTCAACCATAGCTGTTTTTAATAAAGATTATGCTTTTATATAGCTGAATTATTTTGTCTAAATTTGTCTTTTTTTTAAAGAACATTACAAAAAAAAGAACAACACTTCAAATGTTCTTGGATTGGATACGGGACATTGTGCAATTTCTGTGATACAAGGTGGAAAAATTTTCCCTTCACTTTATTAATAGACTAAATATCAAAAAGTTCTCTTAGCTTAAATAGTTTTGCAGAGCATGAATTTATTCAAGTTTTTCTTTTGCACCGAGAAGACTTAGGAGTAAGATAGATGCGTAACAATAAATTAAATATAATTTTAAAAACAAAAATAACAGAGACAGAAACTCATTTCTTTTTTTTTTGCAATCTTTCATTTAAACCATTCACTTTTGGAAGGCTTAGTATTATGCCTTTCTGAATTGCCATAACTCTGGAAGACAGCGAACTTCTTAATTCCATAAGTAGTACCATGGCCTACTCCAGACTGACAGTCTAAGAGCTTTTTCTTAGCCCACTGAGTACAGTACAGATGTATTCTGTAGCCATTGCTCTGTGGATTTGGGATTGGCAAGGAAGTGAAGCCACATCTTTCTGTGATGTCAAAAGCACCAGTGATGTGGTCGATCAGTGTTCAGGATATATGATGGATTCAAACTGCTTTGAAAAAGTAATCATCATATCACTGATTACTGGATCTAAAGGGAAATCAGTTACATGCTGCTGATTAACTCCTTGGAAAAGTAACAGATGACTGATTACTTTTAAATTGCTCTTGCATTGTACATGTTAGTTGCACACTGAAACTGCTTCTGTACTGGAGGCTGTTGCATCACTCATCATACTTTCAACAGGAGCAGCAGGGCTGCTGAGAAAAAAAACTGAAAGTGAACCGTGTTGTGTTTCAGCCTGAATATCAGTCAAGTTCTCGGCGTCTAGATGGGAGACCTTCAAGGAAAACTCCAGGTGTTGAAGGAAGTGGTGTGGATGACTCAATAAGGCCACAGACAGAACTGATAATTTTCATCCAATTTGGCCATAGAAAGCAGTCTATAGCCACAACCTGATGCAAGTGCACGGCTACATACCGCTTAAAAATGTCCTATCAGACAAAAATCTGAACCCTTATTGCATGAGGGTTGAGATGAAGACGGATCAGAATAGAGCATCTTCTGTAACTTGTGTCTGCGCTGCCTGCCAGCCTGTCACTGTTTTCAGAATGGGAGTGGGGAAAGGGAATGGAGGGAGTTTGGTCTGGGGTTTTTCAGCCCCCACTGGAGGGTGGGGTGGGTGTACTGGAGCCCTCCTGAGGTGGGGAGGGGGAGTGCTGGTTGGGGAACCCCTAGAATGAGCTCCCTCTGCTTCCTTTCCCCTCCCATTCTGAAAACAGCACAGACTGGTAGGGAGGAGGGCCCATTGCTTGGGGAAAGTGGCTGCAGGTTGAAGCCAGCAGCTAGATTCCCCTCCCACTGGAACCAACAATGAATTTCTGTTTGGTCTGAGGGATCATTATAACTCAGAACACTTCCTGCAAAGCATTCTTGGTTACACCAGGGAGCTGCACTTCTGTCTGTGCCTTAAATGTCACACTTCCCTCCAAGCCAGTCTTGAAGCAGTGACCCCGAATGACCCTGTGGAGGTGATGAGTCATAGGAGATGGCATTGTCTTACACATGCAACTGAAAACTAGAGCTACATGAGATTTTTCTAAACTTCATCAAACTTTATGTAACAAACGCTTGTTGTCTGTGTTGTTTTTTTTTAAGCAACTCTATACTTTAAACCAAAGGTTCCTCCAACAGAAGTCTTGTAAGATTCCAGTAGTGTTCTGGCTCCTTTGCTTTCCTTTCATTTTTCAAAATACTTTAAGTAACTGCATTGTGGCTGACCAATATTTCCCTTGTTGTTTCAACCAGTAAGGTTTCCCTCCACACTTTCTACATGAGCAATGCTGTGCACCATTCAGCAGCTGCTGTGTGTAAGCAGACAGTGATTCAGCCAACAGGACAGAAAAGCCCCTTCTGAATGCCTGTGTTTCTCCACTCATTTCTTCTTCAGGGTGCTCACACTACACTATTTAAAACACTAGATGAATGACTTACTCTGGCCAAGATCACACTAGTACCTACTCCTCAGGCACTGGTCATTACTTCCAGGCTTTTTAGTGACTTGATTTGGTATCATTATTATGCCCAACCCACTTGTTCTTTCTAGCAGGCACTCTCCTGGAGTGTCCTGCCTTGCTCTTTTGGAATCTGATTGCGTGCTTGCTCTGCCTCAGCATCTCCCCCTTTGCAGAGGGCAGAGTGCCTGAGCTGGAGTTACACCTCTGTTTGCCTTGTGCCGCTGCCTCATCCCACAGGTGGCCGTGTTTTGGTGCCAGGTGAATTATCCTGATGCGCACTGTGCGCTCTCTGTTCCCCTCTGTTGTATAAATTAACTAAGGGGAACACATTAGTCACAGAACTCTGTGGTATGAGTTATGGTTAGGCACAGCTTCTCCCCCAGTCCATGCTGCTGGCATGGACGCAGTGTAGGCAGGGGTGTGCACAGGAAAACCTGTGGATGCTGGAGCCTTGTGGGAACCCCTGCCCAGCCCCTTGGATTCCCAGCCAGCAGCAATTAGGGGCCTCTGCGCTTGTCGCCAGCCTCCACCCCAGCACTGAAAGCAAGACAGCTTTGCAGTCATGTTGTATTGGCTGCCCTGTTCACAGCTGTTCTGTCTTCTCTCAGATCAGCAAGAAGACGACCAGCACTATTTCAAGCACCATTAGCCATGCCCACCCTTACTGAAAGCCATTTAGCTTCTGAATAGATTTAACAGATTTTATAGACATTAGGACTGGAAGGGACCTTGTGAGATCATCAGGTCCAGCCCCCTGCCCCAGGGGTAGAAAGTCAGCTGGGGTCAGATCACCCCAGCAAGTTAAACATCCAAGTGTTTCTTAAAGGTATCCAGAGTAGGTGCTTGCACCACTTCTGTGGGGAGTCTATTCCAGACTCTGGAGACTTGGACGGTAAAGAAGTTTTTCCTAATGTCCAGTCTAAAATGGTCTTCCAGCAGTTTGTGACAGTTAGACCTTGTCTTCACTTGGGGTGCCCTGATGCACAGACATTCCCCCAGTTCCTGGTGCACATCCCTTATATACTTATAGTTTGCCACCAAGTCCCCCCTAAGCCTTTGCTTCTCTGGGCTGAAGAGTCCCATGCCTCTCAGCCTCTCCTCATAAGGCCTGTTCTCTTGACCTCTAATCATGTGAATCACTCTCCTCTGGACTCTCTCAAGCTTCTCCACATTCTTTCTGAAGTGTGGAGCCCAGAATTGGATGCAGTACTCCAGCTGCAGCCTCACCAAGACTGAGTAAAGCAGGAGAATGACTTCTTGGGGCTTCTTGAGATGCATCAGTAGATGCAAGCCAGAGTTTTATTTGCTTTGCCAGCTACAGCATTGCACTGGTAGCTCATGTTTATCTTGTGGTCAATCATGACCCCCAAGGCTACTTGTACATGCCATGGGGTTTTACTTCGGTTTAATTTTCCCTAACTGAAGCAATTTAAACTGAAGTAAACCCCTGTGGCATGTACACAAGGGTCAGGTCCGATCCTTATCTGCCTCTCCAGTATGGGGGGAGGCAGGGGCGAGCTGTTGGCAAGCCAAGTGGTCCCTGAGCTGGGGAGGGTGGGACCAGGGGGTAGTGCTTCCCTTTGTGGTGGTGGCGGTGACGGTGGCGGTGCCTCCCAGGTGGCATCTGCCCACAGGCACCCGGCCCGGGCAGTTCTGGGGGGCACCACAGCTGTGGAGGTAAGCTCCAGCCCCCCAGCAGCTGTGGAGGGAAGCACCAGGCCCCTGCACAGCTCAGGCAGGCAGGCAGACTCTGGGGAGAAAAAAAAAAAGATCAGGCTTGCCGCTTTTTTTTTTCCTTCAGTGGAGCCTTCCTGCATGGGCTGCTGCTGGGCTGCCTGCACAGATTGCCTGCGCAGCCCCAGGGCTGCACGGGGCCCAGTGCTTCCCTCCGTGGCTACTAAGGTAGCAAACTAAAACATCTCTGACATGTTTTATTTTGCTATGTCCCTAAGTCATTTAATGTGGAATATGCTGCTGACAGTATAAACAGCAGCGCCATTAACGCGCAATACCTTGCCGACAGTGTAAACAGCAATGCCATTAAAGCGGTGCAAAAGCGCAGTTAAGCTGCTTTAAAGGCCAATTTTGTGGTGTGTACAAAGGCTCCAAGTCTCTTTTGGTCATGGTGCTAGTGAGCATAGCACTGCCGAGCCTATAAGTATAATGTAGTTTTTTTTCTCCTGAGGTGGAGCACCTTGCAGTTCTCCATGTTGAATATCATCAGGCTTTTATCCTCCCACCTGTAAGCCTGTCCAGGTTGGCCTGAATTGCCAGCCTATCCTCTAGAGTGACCGCGCTTCCTTATAATTTGGTGTCATCCGCAAACTTTGCCAGTCCATTTCTGATACCTGAATCCAGATCATTTATGAGAAATGGAATGGAAACTTGCTGCTCAGAGAATCTGTTTCTTGGCTTCTTCAACTAACCAACCCCCCTTTTCTGCTGTGTATGGGAAAGGGAAGAGAAAATAGTCATATCCACAGCCATCTCTCTCCACAAAGTCTGTGACTTTTGTGGCTGTGTCCCACAGGGACTGTGTACCTGGGATGTCCTGTATCAATGAGCCTGTATGTAACCTGGTTGGAGGTCTGCAGTCAGATTGGAAGGAAAGTCTTACAACAATAACAGTAGGAACCCTGCACAAGTGCTTCTGACTTCTGCCCAGGTCCAGGAGCTGTAGTAGAAGGATTATCTTGCAGTTAAAATTGGGATCCAGGAGCAAAATGGAGATCCAGCTGCACCACAGAGTTCCTGTGTGGTCTTGGGAAAGTCATTTAGGCTGAGATCCAAAAAAGCTAGGTGGAGTTAGGGGACTAAACTCTGCCTTAGTGGATGTGTGTACACATGGCACTTTAATGTGCATTAGCCTAAGTTAATGCACGTTAAGGACTGTGTTTCTACATG